GAAAGAACCCTTGGCAAGAAACATGCTCGTCCAACCATCGATGTGTGCAGGCCCATGGTGGACCCAAAGCGCTTTGTTTGACCTGGCCACGTCCATGGGTTCTCACCGACATTTTGCTGGGTGTGTGTGTGCCCCTTGTAATCACAGGGATCCGTTTGGAATGTATGCTTGACTCTTCCTTCTCTTTCTTTTAAGCAGGGGGACACAGCATTTCACTGGGACTGTGTCCAACGAAGCTACCAGTGAAATGGGATATCCAGCTTGGCCAGCTGGATGTATCTGCAACAATTTTTGAGATTTGTAAAGGGCTAATGCACTTGGCAGACAAGAGCGTACGTCGTCATATCGCCCTGATCGCCGCCTTCGGACTTGAGACTTGGGTCCCACTTCCTCTTGAAGACCCCGAGGCCCCAGTGGTTCTTACTTTTAGGAAATGGTACCCTAGGCCGGCGTGTGGCACCGCTTTCAGTTCAGTACACCCTATCCTAAGTGTGTGTGTGTGTGTGTGAGCACAGCCAAGCACGGCCTGGAGTTGGAATGGTTTCAACATGTTTCAACCAGTTTCAGGACCTTTTCATGTGCAAATCCTTCGCTATTAGGTTGGAGGCCATCGCTATTGGGTTGGAATCGCTACTAGTAGCAAAGACGCTACTAGTTGAAGGGCCTCTGTCCGACTGAGCTCCTTTTCTCGCGGCCCGCCGACCGTCCAGCGCACGCCTCGACGAGCGACCTGGAGGCCGACTGGCTGGTGGGAGATGAAGCGAATCCATCGGGCCCCTGAGAAAACCAGCGGAGCGCGAAAAAACCATAGAAAGAACATCCACTCATGAGTTTGCCGTAAGATGAAGGGATATCCCTGCAAAGAACCGAATTAGGTAGGTTTTGGGGCACGCCGTCCCTTGCTGTACGATGCGGCACGCGGTCTTCCTGACTGCAGGTGGCATGAGCGCCGGGCTCGAAACTCAGACAGGGGATAGGTCTATGGGCCCAGAATTGTCAAGATCACAGTGTCACAAGAGGCATGCTATGAACCACATGGATGAAACACGTTAACTATTTTACAAACATGCATTCTTCTTATCCCAAGTACTGAGGATCTGGAATGGTGTGTGCTTAGGTACCCGGCCGGCAGAGGTCTACAGTCTAGAGTCCACAGCCTAGAAATCATTGACTCTATAGACCTTCAAATTCTAGTGCCAGATGTGTGCACCAAGTTCTAGGAGTCCAATAGGTTTCTGCACCAAGTTCTAGAGTCCAGAGTGACAATCATAGGTCTATTGTAGACCCTTTCAAGCTTTTTACACCTTCACCAGACCTGAAGGTGAGCTCTCGACTCACCGGACCCTGGGTGAAGACGTCGTTTCTCTCCACTGGAGTACGAAGAAGTCAACCGGTATTGAACGACATGAACGGACCGCGCATGAGTGTGTAAGATGCTGCCACTGCCATTGAATATATCAAAGAACTAGGGTTCGTTCAGATGACGGACGGTCCCACTCAACTTTCTGTGTATGTTTTCGTTGGTGGTCATGGGGACTTGGAGTAGGGTCTGAAAGAAATTCCCTCCTAGATTTCGTAACTCTTGGAGCTGCCTTAGACTTTGTGTGGGTATACAATTTTAGACCCTGCCCCAGCGTATTGGTCGCTACATGGCCAACCTACAAGAATGCCAAGCCAAACAGATTTTGACCAAAAGGTCTGGGATGTTCCAACGGAGCTGAAATCATTTCCTCACTGGCTGCAAGTTTTGAGAAGGTGTTCTTTCACCTTTATTTTGACCTTACATCAGGTCCAGAGCACCATGGGCATGGGGAGAGAGAGAGAGAGAGACTTAGACTGCTGAAAAGGTGCACAAACATTGAAGCATTGTCTTTGCGAGTTTGTGTATCAATTGTGCATGTTTACTTCTTTTTATTGGGTTCATGTTGGCAACGTAGCTGGGCAGGAACACCATCCTAGACCACGTCCCTTTGGTACCTAGGTTGGTATCAGCTTTAGTGTGCGCAAGAGGGCAGGATATCACTCTGGACCCCAGTTTTCAGGGTCCACTCTGCAGCACCTAGGGTCCCGCGACAGTAGTTGGCAGGATCTTGTAACCCTCTGAGACTGGGAGAGCTCTCTCGTGATTGAAGAGACGATCCGGGTGCGTGGGTGCAGATCATGGGTCCCTTTCCCTGAGTAGCGAATAACAGGGAGTAGGGGATGCCGGATTCTATAGGATGAAATGTAATTAGTACGATAGTACACGTGACAAAAGCTGTTTTTGCTGTTTTTTTCTCCTACTCTCTCCGACATAGCCGAAGTTTCGCAGACTTGGAATGGGGAATGATTCCTTTCTGTCCAGCAGGACACGTTTGGCCGGCGACCATAAACATGAAACAGAGTCAGAATTCAGAATATGTCAGAACAATGCCACTAGATTTCATTTCAGATTATGTCAGAAACATGACTGGTCATGCCATACGGCATGCCATGTACCGGAAGATTCGGACGTCATGCCACAGATCCGTCTGTCGTGCGGATCCGTCTGGACTCCTGAGGCCCCCACCCAGTGGGGCCGCGAGCTCTGGGGACTCAGGCGAGATGAGGAGACGAAAGAGGACATGTAGAGCGAACAATGTAGACTAACATTGTAACATGAGTCTACACTCCCGAGTCAACTCACATAGACCCGGGTCCAATGGCCACCTGGGTCCAAGTGTTTTCCTCTACCAACCAGTGGTTTTCAGGGTCCATGTTAAGGCTTGAGGGGGTTTGTTCGACCATGAACGTAACGTCCCGCAATGTAAGCATCCTCTTGAGACTCTTGCGAAGACCATGTTGAACCCAATTGGAACATCCTCTGCAAGCTTGGGGGGGTTGATCTCTACGTTACACTTGTGAAGACACAAACCAGTCACATGGCATCACAATCTATCATAATATAGTATATAGTAATATATATATATATATTATACATATATATATATTTAATGCTATATATATCATATCATATATACACGTGTTTCTCAAGCTTGTTTTACTTGAGAAAGCTTGCCCCGGCCACCTGTGTCCATCATCGGTCGTCCGATGCAACTGAAGTGGCCCAAGAGTTGAGCCGAGAAAAGGTACAGGAACAGAGGTTGGCACACAAACAAAGGGAACAGTTGCTTACAGATTTTGTTTGATAGCTCAACGCCTGGTGAGCTTTTCCTGGCACATGATTCTTTCAACGGCAACTTCATGGGATCATAATGCTACTCCTGCTGCTGGTCACATGCGTACCTTGGAAGGGAGCAAGTCTCAAGGTCCTGACATGATTGGAACAAGTACCTCGAGCAGACGGGGGGTCGAGCACTCCAGTGACTCTGGGGATATGCAGGAGTATATGCAGTTGGAAGCTGAGGACTATTCTGTGGCTCAAGCAGTTGCCAGAGACTTCATTGCATGTGTGAGCAGCCAGGGGCCAAGCGCTGGCAGCTGTGCTCCATCACACATCGAATCGGAGAAAAGTAACCCGTCTGCGACACAATTGGCACAGTCAGTGACAAGACAGACGGTAGCAATGCGGGAGTCATTTTCAGCGCAAGTACCAGAGCAAGTCCAGTCAGAAGCTGAATGTTATGTAGTGGCTGAGAAGGTGGCCAAGGATTTCTTTTCGATGGCCATTCAGTCACCCCTCCGTGCAAGTCCTCGATCACAAACAGAATCTGAGAAGACGACTTCGGTTGTGGCACAGCTGATTGCCAGAGAGGCAATCGAGCCAACTGTAGTTCAAAGCCGGAGGGCAGAATGATCAACATTCAGACATCCAATCGCTGATCCACTTCACGTCACTTTACCAAAGGTTTCGTCAAGAATGAACAACATTTGTATAGACATACACATAGGCCCTAGAACTAGAGCACCAGGTGGTCTTCAATCGCTTCTTGAACTCCACTGATGATTCACATGTCATCCAGACATCTCCAGACCTTCGAAAAATGGTTGGACCCTGGTCAGGAGTCCCAGGCAATGCCTCCCAGTCAGCGTTCGGTTCCTGTGGGTCAACGATGGCCAGCCATATGATCGATGGGAATGGCCAGCCAGCAGATGCTGGCTTTGTTTTGGATTCAGGCCAAGCAACAACAAAGAGATTAAAAAAGCATCCCAGCATAGCCGAAACAAGCCGAAACTCGATGCCAATCCAGTCTTGTTGCCGAATCCAAAGCCCAGAATCACGTGGCTGCAGCGAGCGCCTTTTGCGATTCGCCAGTCTGCACGAGCCGAACGAGCTGAACGTCACCCACAGGAAACCAAAACGACAACGACGACTCGTCGTCTGCGCCGTCTACGTGTTTGCCTCTGGGAATCCTAAGCGACCAAAAAACCACCAAGGCGCCAAGCTGTTGGAGTTCTTTTCGTCAGATCTGGATGTTTCCCCCCATGATGTTTGATTCTTTTTGGTGAAGTATATTGGATTTCCTTTCAGATGGTTTGTCATGGTTTTTCACTATTCATTTCATTCATGGTCATTCAGGTTCGCTGGCTTCTTGACTCCTAAGGGGGTCTTGGCACAAATCTTTGATGACTTGCTTGCTCTTTGGCTTTTCTTTGGGCCCGACAGGACATCTCGGATCCTGCACCAAACCCCGCATGGGCCCATGGCCAGTGATCCAACTGCTGACATGTTCCACCAATTCGACTGCCCTGCGACTCCCTGCGGAAGTGGCCCCATGGCCTTGTTGCAGGGAGAGTTTTTAACATGACAACTCTCTATTATCACGTCACAGATGTCTAGTTTTGTGAGTCAGCTTGACCATATCCCTGCACCTCCAGGGCGGCCCGGTGTTTCATCGTCGGCTCCGCCCCACCAACAAGCGGCCAGGTGGGCTCCGCAGGAGGCCTGTGCCGGTCAACTATGCCCGGCAACCCGAGTTTCGTTTCGCAGCGATGAGACCCGCCGAAACGAAACCCGCCGTGGTCTTGGGTGGCACGGCGAAAACGGTCGTCTTGGGTGCGAGGTTTTTTGGATGGAACACATGCAGATGCGAAGACATGCCTTGTTGATGCTGTTGAGGATTCGAATTCTGGAGAAGGGATCCCATCTTCAGCCGATCCGAGACCATCTTCGGCTCTGGATCCCTGGTCCGCCCCTTCCACTCTTGGCCCTCCGGGAACACCGGTGGGGCGAGTCTCGGGCCATGTGTTCCGGTCAGCCGGAGACCAAGACGACCAAGACGACCAAGACCGGCCCCGAGCTGGTGCCCATGACGCCGGGCATCGGGGAGGTGATTACGATGCTACGGTCCGCTGAGGCGAGGCTCCATTTTGGAGCTCCACTGGGCGTACTGGGCCTCGTGCTGATGTTGGCGGGGGGTGTGTGGGCGCTCACGCGCTTCCTGGTGAACAATAGCTTCATCTTCCTGCTCTTGGCGGGCTTGATGTGTGTGCTGGTGTCTTTGGCCGCAGATCCGAGGGGATTGCTGCGATACGTGCCAGAGGAGATGCAAGACTTCCTCTTCAACAAGAGAGTGTTTGATATCCTCTATGACGTGCTTTGGGTCTTGTTGGGAAGCTTTTCTTTTAATTTGCACTTGCTTAGGTGGCTCGTGGCCTCCCTCAGTCAGATCTTCACTCCTTGTCCAGACTCAGAGGAGGAACAACAATGGGACAGTAGCTTTATGCCACATTCGATGCAACATCCACGACACTCTCCATTCTAGAAGTGCACATCCATGGCTTCATCTGAGGATACGCCCGTGATCAATGCCATCCGGAAGTGGGGCCCAGTTCAGCTCTTGATCTCTCAAGATGGAACATCTCAGGGAGCCATTCGGCATTTGGTCGAGCATACCGAGCCAGAGGCGCGATACACCGCACGCATCGTGCCGTGCATATGCGGGCGCATGTGCGCGCATGTCTTGCGCCCGCCCATATGGTCGCGCGTGTGGTGTCGCTGGAAGCGTTCCAATGATATACCATAGATATCCATCATAGATGAGGGTTGAATTGAAGAAGGCTTTGGGGCAACCAGGGGTGGGCATGACCCAATGTAGAGATGGGGTTTGGATATGTTGACATATTTTGACTAATTAATCATGCCTGCTGATGTGTTGCGCATTGTTGTGCAATTCTTTGTTGTGTGAGCTTTTGAAAGAAGAGAACCAGAACCAGAGGGAGGGAAGGAAATGGAAGGAAAGAAAGAAGGGCTTCATTTGTAATTGGAACTCTGGGCGTTTGAAGATCCTCTGCCACAAAAGTGTTTGTTTGATGTCGGTCGAGCTTTGACTACTGGACTGTCCTCGAGTGTTCTCGGCTGTCTCTGCTTTGGATGCGGCAAGGGGGCCGTACATGGCATCGGTTCGATCATTTTTGAATTGGACACGCAGGTGCTACGATTTGTACTATGCCGGAGCTTCTTCAGTTTCTTGCCCGGCCCTCTTCGCTTGCTACTTTTGCCTGCCCGAAGTCTTTCAAAGGAGGGCCTAGAGGAGTCCGATACTCCACCCTCTGTGGAGTGGGTGCAGGACTTCCTTCAAGACCGGAATGAGAAGAAGCAGCAAAAGATCAAATATCCTGAGTTCCTTGGCTGCCCAAGAGGGCCAGTTAGACTGGCCGAAGTCTGAACGACATCGCGAGCCTACACAACAGTTGTGTTCACAGATCTTCAGGCATCAATTTTGGGCATATCGTCAACATGTTGATGCATCTTGCTTAAAGGGTGTAATTTATGGTATTGTTATGTATTGTTTGTGTTTGTTTCGGTTGGATCTCAGGTTGTTGCCACTCGTGACCAAGACCATGGGCTTGGACTTTGCGCCCTTCAAGTCCATCGGCAGATCCTTCTTCCGATGGCTCTCTACCTTCACCTTCATTGGAGGTTTGGCCTCGTGCCTAGTGTCTGCAGGGCTTCTTTTTCCTGTGCCCTGGCTGCTTTGGGGGGCATCGTGAGGCTTTTGTTGGAGCCGGCCTGCAGAATCGGACCTTGGGCGCTTCGACCTCCGAATCGATTGCCTCAAAAGGGAGTCCAACTAGGGGTTATCATGTCTGGTTCCTTGGTTATCAAACTTCGGGCGTCGTTCTGTTAAGCAATCTTCTGAAAGTTTTCTCATCCACCAATCAATCAAAATTGTCTGGAACTCTCACTCTCTCCCTCTCTCTCTGTATGTGTATATATGTAATTATACGTTATACGTATACATACGTATGTATATTTGTCAGCTATATATCATATTAAGTGCCATGATCAGTTCAATGACTCCTTCTCCAAGAACCTTCTCCAAGAACCCCACAGAAGAACACTCCGCACGCCGGCGGCTTCCCCTGCTTGACGGATTCCCGAGGATTCCCGAGCGGTGCAGACGGTGACCGGGGGCTTGATCCGTGAAACGAGGACGTCGCGCCTCGCGGCAGCCTTAACCCTTTGCAGCGCTGGCGGGGCCATTGCCGTGTCACTCTTCTTCGAGCGCTGCCATCGGCTCTTCGAGGAAGGTGGAAGGCTTAAGGAGCGAGCGAAACAGACTCGCGCGGAAAGTCCACGGAACCTCCCAAGGTGGTTGTATGATGCGAATGAGGCGTATGTATCATATGGGCGGTTTCCCAGGTTGAGACATCCTGTAATTATGTATAGTATCAGACGATTAGTTATATTTCATTATATTTCTATATTTCTCTGTTGTGCATGTCGAAGTGTGTGCCCGGGAGGAAGCCTTTCAGCCACAAGACTCGACCTAGCCTTTGGATCAGTGAGTCAAATGAGTCATAGCTTTAGTCCTCGGTCGCCTGCTCGAACAGCCTGAGCTTGTAACATTGACCTGACCTGGTACAGTTTTCAGTGGAGGCGGTTGCAGCAGTCTACGTGCGCGAAAAAGCGGTCCTTTTTGGTGTTCATGCTGTTGTTTGCAGTTTAAGTTTAGTGACTAGAGATGCTCATTTAGAGTTTGCAAGTCAAGCGTGTGGTTCAACTAAACTGTATGTTTGAAACAAGGCAACAAAGAATCACTTCCTTACATCGACTTGTTGAGGATTGGCACGTGACCGAAGCAGATGATGGGGAAGGTGAGGAGGAGGCTGGCAGCCAGGGAGCGTGGGAAATCGATGGCGAAATGGTTCTGAGTGACCCGGACAGCAAGAGTAGATTGCTTTACGGCGCTGGTTCATGCTCTTAAACCATTTGCTGGGTCATGCTGGGTCAACGATCTGGGGTGCCATGACCTCTAGCTATGCCATACTATGTGTTTTCTATATCTGTGATAGACATGCAGACATGTATGTTCCTGGCAGAACAAAAGGCGGAGCATATAGAAGGCCGCCATAATGGCGCGATGTTGCTTTCCTTCCAACTGAAATCGAAGAGTGGTCGAATACTTTGTTCGAGAAGATAGTTTTTGCTGGACCAATATCATTTCATAAAAGCACCAGTGAGAAATTACATCGTGTGACACATGGTGCAGAAAGCAGGTTCACGTTCCTTCCTTCCCCAGCTCCACTTCTTGTTACACTTGTTCACATTCTCTTCGTCTCTGCGTGTCGGTTCGCCGTATCCCGCCTTTGGGCTGCGAAGGATGGAGTGGTCTTTCAGGATGAGCAGCCCAGCAAGTTTCAGGTGTGTCCACGCGTCAGACGCTGCCCCCGTCAGACAAGCTTGGTGATGCATTCTGATCAGTCGACCAGATTGATGTATTCATATGTATTCATATTCATGATGATTGAGTTCATTGCATTATGCACCTCAAGATTGTAGATGACCAAATATGATGTAAATATATACATATCACAGATATATATGTAGAATTACGTAAACATATACATACATGCATCTATACAATGCATAAAACATCACAATGCAATACATGCAATACACAATATGCATGATACTATACACTGCAACACCGGTGACAGATCGCAGTTGAGCTCGTGTGCGCCGGGTTCTCCGCGTGGTTTCGCAGTTGCTCGTGAACACTCGTGAGCACTGGTTGCGGTGCGCCAGGAGTACATGAGCATCTTCTTTGACTACATCTTCTGGATCCTTTTAGCCTATTGTGTTTGGCCCTTGGGTGCCGCCATGTTTGTTTTGGCATCGGTCGACATGCGAGCCGTTTTTCTGTGGGTGAAAAGCAGCAAGCTTGCCTCGTTGCGTTGGGAGTGCCTGTAGATTCCCTCCATCGGTCGATGTTCATGTCTGGCTACAGCTATGACTCCAGGATTTGCCAAGCCTTGCTATCATACTACAACATACTATACTATACATATGCTCACGAGGCAGGTGAACAAGGAATCTTGTTGTTGTTGTTGACAATGTTGTTGTACATCGTTGCATTCTACCTCTCGCTCGCTCTTGTGTGCTCGCTCTCTCGCTCTCTTTTTTTTTTTTTCTCGGGTCTTTTCCTCAGCACTCACGATGCCGCGCCACTAGGCAAAAGCGGCAGGGCCAAGGCTCCTTCTCCTTGCAGCCCTTGCAATCCCTTCAAGGGATCAACTGCTCGAACTCGGTCCGAACTTCAGGGTGGTCTGGCCTTTGCCAACGGCGCACGCCCTGGCCAGCCACTGCTGGACTCTGCCATCTTGCTCCCTGCTGTGGCGTTTGCATTTGCGGCATTCAAGCCATGCTCCTCGCCGCCAGACTTCATGCGAGGGGTGCAGCCGAGTTCTGAGCTGCAGGCTGTGCTCATCCTCCTGCCCATATCGGCATTCTGTGGCCACCACCTGATCAAGGACCGCCTTGCTGCTCCGCAGGGGAATCTTTTGCCAGCACTTGACACAACCAAATGTTGTGGCCGTCATCTCCCATTTGTGGCCTGGCTGCTCTGCAACCTTCCCTTCAGTATCCTGGATCAGCTCACCCATGACTTGCTTGAGAGTCTTAGTCACAGCTCCAGGGCACACCGTGGCTTGCTTCCTGTTGATTTCCTCAAAGGTGCTGCACGCCTTGATCCTTTTGCCACAACGTTCACATACCACTCCCTGGCGATGATGTTGCCACTTGTGCTGGCCATCACTGGTGGTTTGTTGCACCAGTTGGCTGAAGAGTGCAACTCGGCCCAGTTTTGGTTTGGGCTGCGGCACTTTGAGTTCATGCTCCACCTTCTCCAACTCACCATGCATGTAGTGGTCCTTGTCCGCCAGGATGGTGCTGATTCTTCGGGCAGCTACTTCATAGATTGCTTGATTCTTCTGGTCAGCTTCTTTCATCTCCGCTTCAAGGCCATTGGGAGCCACCTTCAAGGCCCTTTGCATGGCCACATGCTTTGCCTCACTGTGCTGAACCCAGCCTCGCGAAGCTTTGCCCTCCTCCTTCAGCATCTTTTGCGGCACATGCAGGAGCTGCAACCTCTTCCACTCCTCAGCGGGCAGATTGTACCACAGATCAGGGCCAACTTTGCTTCTTTCTCCTTTCTGAAGGGCCGTCCAACCAGCACGATTGGGAATGTTCAATTGATGCCGACCCAGAACGGCTTGGAGCAAAAGCCAGCAGGCAAACACCCAGCCCCTTGCCTCCGTGCCCTGACCAGGGGCAATCGCTGTGCAAGTGCCAGCAATCTGCCATGATCCCTCTTGCCAGGTGCCAACAGTGATCGCCACCACAAACTGCTTGATGCGTTTATCCTGGCAGGTGGCTTGGACTGCAATGGCCACTCTGTGGGAGGGAGTGAGCCGGACCGGCCATCCCGTGGCCAGAAGGCCAGCGACTTCACACGATTCCACTCCTTCGGCTGCCACAAAGTGCGGCTCCTCGATGAGGCCCCTGGCCCATAACATTTGGTCCTCATTGGCAGTGATGCTGGCTTGCCATTCTGCTGGGAGGTCTTGCTCATGATACTTGCACTGCCACACCAAATGTTTCATACTGACAGGCACCTGACAGATTGGGCACATCACTCTGACTCCAGCATCATGAGTGCGCAGGGAGCCCTGCGTCCATGCATCCAGGGCTGCCCTTTCCGAACCTTTGAGCTTCTTGATGACCCGGTGGTACACCGTCCAATCCGGCCGCTTCATGAGGGGAAAGCAGTGTTCCAACTCTTGGATGCGTCTTGCCCGCTGATGCTGCTGCTCCTGCTGAAGTTTGCGCTGCAAGTACAACCAAGGAAAATCCAGGCTCATCTGATTTGCAGGCAGCAAGCCCTTGGCCGGCCGAATCCAGTCATCCAGCACTGACGCATCCCAACCCATCTCCATGAGGTACACCTGTAAGGCCGCCATGGGTCCCGCAACGATCATCCAGGGGTAGGCCGCAGCTTGGAGGCGTCTCCATGAAATCCTCCAGGCAGACATGAGCTCGCCTCTCTGACTTGGAGGCCACGCCCGAACCAGCTGATGCATAGCCTTGAGCTGCCTCTCCACCGCCGTGTCTTTGGGATCTTGAAGATGGCTGTGCTGGTCAAAAACCACATCAGGGCTTCCTTTCTTCTGCAGGCCCCCATGTCTTGCCAGTTGCTGCCGTAAGGTGCTCATCCTCTGGGGAGCCATGCCTTGTGCTTCAACTCCAAATCCGACTGCAGAGTGGATCGAGGTCTTCCAAACCCTGATTCTCACCGGCCTGGACCGCAGCTTCAAGTGGAGCAATTTGGACTGGCGGCCACTTCCTTTCAGCAGTCGTTTCTGTTGGGTGCCAATTCTCCTCCTCCTACCCCCGCTCGAGTCCAAGCCAAGGTCCTTCAAAAGGTCATGAGCCTTTGGCTGCTGGTCAGTGCGGTGTAGATTGATGGACCGCTTCGCATCAGCCGTTGAGGTCAAGAAGCCCGTTTTACTTGGTGAGAGGTGGAGGCCAACTCCTTCCAGTCCCATCTTGATCTCATCATATCCAGCTAGGGCTTGTTGGCTGACACTATGCGGATCATCACCTGTGAAATCCATGGATATGTCATCCACCCACACGTCCACCGTGACCTTGGGGTACTTCTCCTGGAATGTCTGCAGCACTGGCGCCAGAACCAACTTGGCAACAAGAGGAGCCGCCGGGCAACCAGCCAACATTCCTTTCGCACAGTGGACCGCGGAGGAAGTCACACCCTCTGCTTGCAGCAGTCGTGGCCCAGAATAAACCTCAAAGACCATATTCATCACCGCTGGCGGAAACTGCATAGGCTCCCACAACTCCAACAATTGCTCCAACTGCACAGCATCGTAAAAGTTCTGCAGGTCCAAGAGCAGGGAGATGACTTGACGTCCAGTTGCTTTGCCGACTTCACATTTCAAAAGCCTCATGAGAGCAACCTGAAGGACTTGATGGCCTGGGAGGCTCCTTTCCCATGGGAGGCGTTGGCCAATGGTCGACTGCCACTCTCTGATCTTCTCCCATCTTAGCCGACACCAGGTGCGGTACATCACGCTTGTGAGCGAAATTGGACGCTCAATGTCAGCCTTTTTTGGAAGCAACAGCACCAGCGTGGTGGCCACTTGATCAGGTAGCCTTCCAGAGAGTTCCCACTTTCTCATCATGTGGCACATTTCAATGACACCTTCAATTGGCAGGTTTTTCAGCATGGCGAAGCTAATGCCATCTGGTCCACAGGCCTTTTGTGGCAGTTTTTGCAGCTTCTTCATCACTGCATGCGGGTCCAAGTCTTCCCAGCTTCTTGCCTGGACAATGCCCTCATAGCGGAGCCTCTCTCTTTCACCTGTCAACTTCGGTGCATCAATGACTTGCCACTTGCTATACCATTGCTGTTCCCGCAGTGTTTGCCGCTGTTGGATTGGCACGTCACGAAAGGGCCGCACATGAACACTGTCCGGTGCCTTCAGGCATTTGTAGATGCCACTGTGACCTTTCAATTTGGCCTGGGACAACCACTGTTGATAATCTCCTGCCTGTTGCTCTAAAGCCAGTTTCTTTGCAAATTCTTTGTTGCATTCCGCACCTTGAATGAGCAAAGTCAACGGGGTGGACCTCCCTGCTATGAGCATCTCAATGCCAGCTGCAAAATCCTCAAGACCATGGACATTTTGCCACCTCAGGTGCAAATCAGCAGTTTTCGCCCTCAGATGATCCATGGTTCCAGTCGACAGGTAGGGCTTGCTGGCAATGTGTTGCAGCAAGGAGCAAAACTGTCCCCAGTAGGCCAAATCACCTTTCTTCCAGGGTGTGAGCGGCTTGGAGATTGGAAGTGGTTTGTGTTCCAATGCAAGGTACCATCCTCTGCCTTGTTTAGGCTCATGCAGCCGCTGGAGGTTGAACTGCTCAGCCTGGTGACACCATTCAGCATAGGTGATCTCTTTGGGGCCAATTGGTCTACCCAGCCAATACGGTTTGGGTGCCGGCTGGAATTCTTCCCACGATTTGACCTGATTGTCCAGCTTCGGGACTGCCGGGTACTGAGTCAGCTGCGGCAAAACCATACGTGGAGCCTCCTGATCAACCTTGATGACTAGTCCCGCATGAGGTTTCCATGGGACATCCCACGTCACTTTCAGGTCGAGGAAAGGTGCCACGGATCGGCACGCCAGCAGATAGTCCAGCTCTGCTCCGGTGACCATAGTCGGTTGGCCGCTGGTGATCAGTTCTGCTTTGAGGACATTCAGGAGGTTGTGCCCTTGCCACTGTTCAGGCGGCACCTGGTAATCCCCCACAGCTATCCAGGGGATGGCAAGCTGCTTGACAAAGGCCGCCAGCTCTCCGAGGATGGTGGAGTTGGCTGGAGAATTGAGGTCCTCGCCACATTTGAGGTAGACGGAAATCAGGACCAGCTCCCATCTCTGTCTCTGCAAGACTGAGGCCAGAAACCCATTGCCTTCCAGGTCAAAGGAATGCAGCCTGTATCCACATTGCCCTTCTCGCATGCAATGGAGCTGACCCCCACTATTGCCTCCTCTGCCCGTGTCGTGTGCAGCAAGGAAGGTCGGCTGCCATCTGTGTCGGCACAGCTCATTGTGTGCCCCGTCCATCTTCAGATGGTTGAGATGGGTTTCCACCATCATGACAATGGAGTGTGGTTGCTGGATCACCCACTCTTTGGAGTCCTTCGTCCACTGCGTGATGTTGGCATACAATATCTCAATCTCTTGGTTGGGATGCTTTGGTCGCTTTTCCGGTGGCTCAAAATGACCAATCGAGGTGGTCCAGAAACTGGACTGTTCAGCCCTTGATGCCCAAACCATGACGGTGTCCCTTTTGAGTTCGATCGGCACTTCTTTCTTGGCCTCAGGGCACTGTCCATCGTCAGCAATCCATACTGCTTCTCCCTCCACCAGCATGGTGACATAGTGCCCACTGATGAGCTGCGGGCCCTGATGGCCAATGATTCCCCTGAGGACAAACATTGATTGGCCCGTGTGCCCTGCCTGTGTGCGCTGAGGGCATCGGAAGGTGGCAGGTGTGTGCAGCAAATTGTGGTGTTTGATCCAGGACTTCTTCTGAGGGCACAGGTGGTATCTACCCACATGAAACACAATGTGCTCAACATCTGCTCCCAAACATTGGCCGTTGCCCTCATTCGCCCATTCCGCCAGCAGCTGTTCAAAATGCACTTCATGGCCCAATTCAACTGGCATCCTGATGTACAACGGTATGGTGTCATACTCATGCCACCTGCCTCCAAAGTGGGCGTGCCAGTTTCCTTGCAAACCTGTCTGCCCCCAAAGCTCCCATAGGTGAACAAGGAATTCAGAGGCATCATGTTGACTCTGTGGGTTTTCCAGCCTGGCAATGGCTGGCTGGAGCTCCGATGCCCAGAAGATGTCCGGAATCTCATCCTGCTGCAGTAGTTGCATGCACAACTTGGTAGAAGGGCCCCAGAACTCCGCAGGATCTGTGTGATGAGCCCCCATCCAGCACCACATGCGTAGCACCGCATTTGCAAAGCATCGGTTGCCTTTATTGTGGATGTTCAGGGTGAGGTTGGCCGCCAGGAGCTCAGCCGTAGGCGGTATTGCAGGGGCAGTGTCCACAGGTCTACACAAGTAGATGTTGCTCTGCAATGCTAGCCTCATCTTCAAGATGTGCTTTAGGGCCTCCAAGCCCCACACACGGGTTTCATGCATCCCAAACTGAGAATCTTCACGACATTCTATCGGCAGTGCATCGATGGCCTCTCTGGCTTTGTGATGTAGCACCTGCAGCCTATTTTGAAGCCTCCCTGGGCTTGTGTATTGTTGTAAGTCCGGGTCGTCTTCCCACACTTGATCTTCCCTCGCCCTTTTGCCCCCTCCAAGTAGCATCTGCTGTGGGGCTCTGAGGGCTTCTCTGTGTCTTTCCTGATGCACATCAGAGCCAACCAGGGTCCCGCAGGTAGCCAGTCTGGGAGTACCCAGCTGCTCTGAGCTCCACAAAGGCAGTGCCCCGGTTGGTCCGACTGTAGCATCAGCTTGGCAAGGTCCTTCATGATCTGACCCAGCCTCATCCTGGCTATCCCACGTTTGCTTTGAATCATGGGGATCAGGACACATTCCAGACTCATTTGTCTTGCTTGGTTGGGCCTTCACCGACCCTTGACTCTGTGCATCAGCAATGAAAATGCTGCCTGCACCACATTGCTCACCATCCACCGACATGCAGCGCCCCGGCCCACCAGTGGTGGAAAAGGAAAAAGAAGAATCCCCTCCAACATAGATGTCATACGACTGCATGTCTGGATCATGAGGAAATGGAACATCATACCATCTTTGCCATGCAACATACGGCTGTCGGCCTTGAAAATGGTCGCAGGCAGAGCAGTCAGGTGCATCCGCATGTTGCCATGTCTCAAAATCAACTGCATGAAGGCTTGCGCCCCCGCAAGTGTTCATGCCATCCCATGGTACCCACACACTCAAACACTCTTGCAAATGTGTTTGATCACCCATTCGACCCTCATCTGCATTTCCCAAGCCTTCCACATGCATTGACCCCAAATCAAAGTGCATCTTCAGCTTGGTACTTTTCTCCTTCAACTTTGCTTTCACTCGGGGCCAACCAAAGGGGTTACCCCGACGGCTGGCTCTCCTCATTCTTCTTGCGGCGTTTCAACATGCTTTCTGCAAGCTGCCGCTGAAGATCAGACTTCTGGGTTTCCGTGTAGAGGATCCCCACTTGAGCTAAGGCCTTCAATACATGATCATTCATGTCTTCGTCCAAGGCTGACAAGGCAGACTCCGTGGTCGGCTCTTCCTTGGTTTCCTCCTTCAGGATCTTGGCATAGGCTTCCGACTGGGCGGTGAGTTGCTGCTGTTCCTTATCAATTTGCTCCTGCACTGTCTTCAGCTCATCCAAGAGGACCCGGTATTGGTCTTTTGCATTGTCCACTCTCTTTTGCAACCCAGCTTTCCTGTGCGAGAGCTGGCGGAGTTCGCCCACGGTGACCTTGAGCTTCGTGGTGACATCCACCGGTTCTGGCTTGGCAGGGTGCACCAGGCTTTCAACAGCCTCCTTGACCTCCTTAGGAAGGGCTTCAATGTGTGCTTTGAGGATCTCTTCCAAAGGAGGATGCTCAGGTTCCGGGGTATAGTCAATGCCAACTGTCTGGAGGGCCTTCTTGACATCGTCGGAGAGGCTGGTCCAGTTTTTCCTGAGCATGTCATCAACCGGGTGTTTCCCTTTCTTCTCCTTTGGCCCCAGACCAGGAGGTGCTTCAATGCGGCGAGCTCCTTCCCTTCGGTTCCGCACCTTGGGTTGCCAGGGTTTTGCTCGGGTCGGCTGGCCGGCAGGCCAGTGATGTCCACAATGATCGCAGCACCACCGCTGATCACTCACTCGATCAGCCCAGATCCAACTGCCTTCACAGCCTGTGCAAACATAGTACATCCTCTTGGATCTGATCTTCCTGAAGCCATCCCATCCTGGTCCAGTCATCGTCAAACAGCCTGGTACGTGCCCTCGGACAGGTTGAAGGGATCTTGGCCTCGAAGAAGTCCTCTATCACGGGCAAAGCACCAATGCCCACGTGAACCACAGTGTGGGTCGAACCGGCTTGAGCCACCTGAAGACTCTTGAGCCAGAAGCTTGAGCCATCTCTCTCGCTCTCTCTCTCTCTCTCTCTCGTTGTGTCTCTCTTTTGACACTGAATGTCAACGCTTGGTTTGCTCTTTTTGACCCCGTACAATTGTGGCCAGTTGCTGTTTTGGTGCTTTTGGGGGATTTTGAGAGATCCCTTGATGGCAAGTTGTAATCAACAAATCTATATAATTTGGAGGGCCGATCCTCACGTTCCTCAAGTGAACTGAGGTGGCAATCCTTGGGTCATTTTGACCTTGCCCACCTCAGCCATGGAAGGTTCTACTATTCATGTCATTCCGAGTTCATGCCCGGGCCGGCCATATACGTAGCATAGCTCTTTTCCTTCGACATTGCCCCCCCTCTCCACTGGCCTCGCTCTTCGCCCACCTTCGCCCACCACCCACCTGGCACCGGTCACCGTCCGCCGGTCTGGTCCACCGTCGACCGCCCGAGGCGGTGAATGCCTTGATTTGGCTCGGCGAGAAGATGGGCCTCCGGGCCCAGCGGGGAGGGGATGAGGTTTCGGCTCGGGTGCGGGGTGGATGCGGGGGGGGGTCCGAGGTGAAAAAAACGGGTGGAGGACGGGGAGTGTTAAGGAGTAGGATGTGCTTCAGTACTGTACTCTAAAAGATACATGTCCATGTTCGCGACTTGTTGGTCAATTCTAGCACAAATGACTCAATTTGTATCAAATTGTGAGATAGTCCAAAGCCCCCTGATACCCCCTCCTAATGGGAAGGGACATGAATTGGATTTAGAACAAAATGATGCACAACACAAATTGTCGGGTGGGTTGTAATTAGGAGTGATTCTGAGACAACAGTGATATTTGGACCACCTGGCCATCCGATTGCTTGAGATGAGTATCCTGAAGACAGTCGACTGCAGCTTCTGAGACTTCGCAGTGTAGTTTCTGAGACTCAGCTGTCACGTGAACTCCAAAACACAAATTTCAGCTTAGCTTGGATCTGAAGCAGTGTTGAGCTGCATCACTGCATCAAGCTGCAAAATCCTGCAGTGCGGGGCCTTATGCATTCCCGCGAGTCTAAACACCTCGGGGTTCATGGCAGCTCTTTTGCCTCTGGGCTTTCTGGTGGCGGCTGCGGGCTGCTCCTTTGACTCAGTGGCCGACTTGAGGAGTGACTTTGTGAAGAGCTCCTTGGTGACTCGGCTGAACCAAAGACGAACACGGATCATGACATGCAGAAGACCACTTTTTAAGGGGAAGGACCGGAAGTGCACCAGCTTCCGCAGACACCCCTGCCGGCCCCTGCCCACGTGCGACGTGGATATCTTTTGACCCACCAGCCATCAGCATTCTTGGCAGTAGTGCTCACAGAGGTGCCGCCACCAGGATCACAGGTTGGGCCGGTGTTTTCGTCGCTAAGTGAGTGGATGTTCTGGGCACTTGTCCGAGTTGGTCTGGGAGTATGAATACTGGGAGTTTGGCCAGGTAGGCTCTCCAATGGTGCTCCACCCCTAACCTCCAATAGGCACCCCTTTCTGACTCCTGGAAAATTTATATGTACTGTATCTAGAGTTTATGTTTTCTTAGCAGCACACGGAGTACCGAGGAGATTGAGCGGCTCAATGGCCAGTGGTATGAACAGCCTCTGGGCTGAGAAGATGAGGAAAGGAGAAAAAGGCCTTGAAGCACCCGCAAGGAGATCTCATACTGGGTACCTGAGGGCCGGTCTAGTGGGCCACTACCCCACCGCTGCAGTTAAGGGGATGAGCTAGGGTGTGGACCCTTAAGCACAACAACAACGCATATACTGGTACGAGTGCTTCTTTGGTGTGTGTGTGTATTACCGGGCACCTTGCTGGGCACCTTCGCACGCCCTTTTGCATTCTTGTGCCATCCGGGGGAATCCTTCGATGGCTCCACATCAAAAAGATTGCTCTTTTCGCAGGTTTCGCTTTCGCGCCAGTTGAAAGACCTGTCAGCTTGATTCAGCTTGATTGTTCGACAGCTGAGGAGCTTTCACGACATAGCTCAAGTGGGGAGCAGCTGCCAAGAGCTCTACTTAAGAACCGCTCTTGAGCTGCAATGATGGAAGCCCAAGCTTGAAGGGAAGGGTCAAGTCACAGAACCTTGCTAACCTGCATTGGCCATGACGAAATAATCAAAGCAGAGGCAGCATCAAAACTAGAAGAACAGCCAAGCAAGAAGATCCCAGAACCACCAAGTTCGGGTTGCTGTGCTCTCCCAGCACCACTTGGGCAACAGGACTCTAACGAGTCGGTAAGTCGTGGAACACCTATGCCACCAGTGGCTGGTAGATCGACGCAAGTAAGTAATGTACAATGCATAATTTCTTTAAGCACAGAGTGTCATCCGTAGATGGCAACAACCGTAGATGGCAGAAAGTAAGAAGTGCAACTGCAACATTTGTAAATTGCAACTGGAACTGATGCATTGCATGTCAAGGCAATGGCATGGCAAGGGGGTCATGCCTTTAAACGCGGAATTCCTATACGTCCAAATGACACAGAATACCAGGGACAGGAGTCCGAAAGAAGTGGTGGGACATTCATTCCCGCAATGGTGGGCCCCCTGGAAGGCCCCCTTCCTTTGCCAACCCTGGAAAACCTCCGATCCATGTAGGTTGAAAGGCAAGCATGCCGCAGGCTGAAACGCCCTTTTGGTCAAGCCCTGCCCTACCAGTGGGTAACCTTTAACAATTTGTTTGGGAGTGGTTTCCCCGCTAAACCAAAGTAGGTGGAGAAAGGTTAGCCAGTAGCGGTGCTGAGGTCAATAGAAACACGGAGCACCAGCAGCTAGGGTGGGTGAGTTCAACACTTTTGACCCAGCAACTGCACTTGCCCAGAGGAATTTACGTCAGGGTTCCTTCCAAGAATCTCAAATTGCAGATCACGGTAGGTCTAGACATGGAGGGATCGGCTCCTTCTTTCATGTCTATGGCATGCATGGCTTCCAGGCACCGGGCCACTCACTACTCCTTTTCTCCGTACTTTAGTTCAGGAGAACTCGAGTGGTCACATCGAGAGCAACTTCAGCGTGCGCTACGGCCCGATGCCCTTCACCATCAAGGAGCACTACCAAAGTCACGGACTCGGCCATGGCGTGTACCGCAAGCTGCTCGGCCACACAGCGCTAATATGACTCAACATCGTTGTCTATCGTTTTCTTCTACATGCGCACGTCGGCATTGGCGCGCGCGGCGCGCATCAAGAGAGACGAGACATGAAGGCATGAAGAGGCATTTCTTGGGTCTTGTTTTGACCAGACGAATTGGGTTCCGTGTTTGCACAATCTGGTTACCTGTTTTTTTTCTCCCTCTCCCCGACATGAAACAGGTCGGTGTCGATTCCCTTTGGCATCCCTGGTGGCTCCTTGCTGGGCTTTCCCAGCGCGACCGGGATGAGATAAAGCAAGGGAGGCACGTTTTTTCATGAAAGCGAAGATGGAGAGTTACGGAATGTGACGGATACTATGTTTTTTTGCTTTTTTGGGGGCATGTTGCAGCTGTTCCTGCACTGATTGACCTTGTTGAGTTTTGGCACACATTCTTGGCTTGACCTTCAGTTTTTTTTTGCTTGGATTTTTTTGCTTGGATTTTTATTTCTGTATACTGTATACTGTATGTGTGTTTCAATTCATTTCAATTCTGTCAATGCCATTCAGGGCGGCACATGATAGCGAACAATAGCTGATAGCTGATCCCGACGAAAGCAACTATGCAGTTGCGCTGTTTTTGCTGCATGAACCCACGTGGGATTATTTGATTCGGGGCAAGTCGCACGCGATGCCGGGGGCACCGCTGAGGCGATTGTGGATGTCGTTTCTAAGGGAGACACTTATGATGCCCTGATCATCTACTCCTGCCTTGCTGGATTACAAGTCCTCGAGCTCTGGCTGCTCTAGCTCCAGCCGGTTGAATTGTTAACAGTTCTCTGGACACCTCGCATGTTGCTTTTTCTTCTCATGGCCCTCCCCACCCCGGCTTTCCGACAATACAACAACTGCAAGACGCACTGGCCACAACAACCTTCAAGACCCCAGCTCCACGGCAAATCCAGTGATCATGTTTCTTTCTTTTTCTCATTTCTCTTCCGTACCTTCCATGGCTACTCCGTTCGGCCTTCAGGAGATCTCCACCCGTGCGCAGCACATCACGGACGCCGCGGCGCAGAGCTTGGTGGATCGGGCGCTGGCGCTGGGCGTGAAGCTGGCCAAGGAGTCGGTGCAGCGCGTGAGGAGACGACTGGGATGTGAGAGATGACTGCAGTACCCATACACTCCATGGGACTGCCATTATATGCCGCCCCATTGACCCCCCTGGCACCACCCCAACTGATCGGCAGTCCTATGGCAGTCCCATGGAGCGTCTGCAGTATACTGCAGAACTTCTGAGACACATGATGACATGACACATATTGATATTGATATTGGTATATCAGCAGTTATATCAGCATATGGCCACCCAGTCAGTGAGACGTGGAACAATAGAATATGTCTATTTATGGCAATTTCCTGAGGTATTTTGTCACCAAGATTTGATGATGTTGGACTTAGATGGATGTGGGGCGTTGGAGCTTCAATCAGATTGGACACGTGCTGTGCTTCAATCCAATGCTTCTCAAATCCAATGCCAGATTTGGAGAATATATGGGACATGCCCAGAACCCCAAGAAGAACAATTCAGATCCATGGAAGGGCGGTCAGCCTTGCGGCGCCTTGCGTGAGGCACTCCGATTGTGATGTGGTGAATCTTATTTGAGTTGGCTGATGTCAGATGAGTACGACTGTTACCCCATGCCCCGGGCTCACCGGGTGGTTCAGCGTGCGGCGAGCCCCGGATGGTCGGCCAAAACTCCGCCCTTTTGAAGGATTTGACCAAGCTACTGGTGGAGTGTTGGATTCCCCGCCTCAACCATCCAAAGGATAGTAGAGGCGTCCCAGGTTTGTGCCAGATTGAAGTTCATGATCAAGTTCAGAGTGATGTTTATGTTTAAGCATGTTTAAGCTATACCCCTAAGTTTACCCACAGTCACACCATGTCACACCCATTGGTCGATATGAGTCGACGGGCAGGCACGACCTGGGATGCAGTAGAAGCATGGCGAAATCGAACTTCAGAGTCAATTGTTTGTGTGTGAGTGTGTTTGTTACGCAGTGGAAATAGCATCGTTTGGAGCCTCCATTGTTGATTTCTCTTTGTACATAGGTACTTCGGATGCGAGCATCGTGATGGGCAGGTGCCGACTTGCAATGTGTACAGGCCTGCTCAAGATGCTGAATGAATGATGTGAAGGGCCTTTGGCCTTTTCTTCTTGTGCACGTCTGGCAAAAACACGCTGAGGAGTGGGCCAAAATGAGTGCCGTTGCCGCAAGCACGTACTGGATTTCTCACGGCTTGACAAGACTTCGGCTTGTACATAAGGCTTCATTATGGCTTACCTAGCTCTTGCCGCAACGGCTCAAAGAGTGTTAGCTGACTTTTCCACACGCAGGACCAGCTTGAA